GGCCATGATGTCTTACTAGGGGCCAATCTTGGTCTGTGTGTAGTGAGACGATTAATTGGTGTTAATCGCGATACTACTCACTGCCGATATGATAAGGAGTCTACCGGTCATACACTTAGAAGATAATTTAAGAATCAATTTGTGAGAAGTATATTTTCGTCTTTCAGGATGAAATGGTATTTTGGTAATCTCACAGTACAATTAACTTTGCTGAGGTTGTTACTTGTATTTAATTTTAATATTAAAATTAAATTAGTGAGATTATATTTAAATATATCTATGTATATATTTAAATGAATTATTATTATTAATTGAATGTTAATATATTATTACATATTAATTGATTTTAATTATAATAATAATTAATTAATTAAAATACCATAAAGGGTGTGTTTGGTTGCAAGGGTGAACTAGGGTTGAAGCCCATGGCTATTCCTAAGTAGAATAGGGTTTTAATTGTTACACTATATAAGCATAACTTAAAATTAAAACATGTGAGAATTATTCATTTAATTAAAACCCTAGCCACCATATCTCTCTCTCTCAAGAAGAAAACTTTTCTTGATTCTTGAGGCTCTTGATTGTTCTAGCAAAATAATCAAGAGTTTTGCGAATTATCTTCGTGTGAACTTTCGTGAATGCGATCCTACTTTGGATCGATTGATGAAAAATTACGTGAACAGTAGATGATGAATAGTATCTATAAACAGTACAATAGTATCTTGGGAGGAGATTAGTACACAAAGATGAAGTCCATAATTGTAAGCTTACAATGAAACATATAAAACAGAACACCGCTACCTCTTGTTATCAGGAATATTATAGGAAATACCGTACTTCTTATGTGTTAAATTAGAAGCTCAAACAAACGTCAAATTTTGAACAGTAACTTGATGCAGAATCCTAAGCTAAAGCTAAACCCCAAACAATACTGGACGACCCAAAACTTTTCGCACACATGGCATATCAGGTTCCTGTTTAGATCGCTTTTCCCACAAAACAAAACAAACTTTGTCTCACATATATTTTGTTAGTTGGGTTCCTCCAATATTCGCCACCCTTTTATTCTAGCCTTTTCTCCGTTCAACCCAACCTGAGAATCGGAGAATTGAAAGCACTGTTCATTAGTTTCTCTTTCACTCCTCCTTTAATTCAGTGTATAGAACAAGTTTGAACTTTTGATAACATTAATGTGAGCCATATGATAGTAAAAGCGACCAATATTTTTAGTGATTTGCCTTGATAATTAAGTGAGGTGATAGTATGAGTTAACTGTTAACAGGCTGATATAAAAAAAATGGTATATGCGTTAAATAAGAGTCGTATCATCCCATTTAAAATGAATATCGGAAAATATTTTAACATTTAGAACATTGAAATTGCAGATGAATTGTCGGAGTCAATTCTGACCCTTAATGAAAGTGGATGGATAACTTGGTAACATGCTTTAACTGTATATAACTCGATATCACTGTGCATGGCTTCTTATTAGCTACCAGCCTAACGGAGTGTGGACACTTGAATTTTGTCTCAATTCTCAAATGGTACCGAAATAATCGACATTGTTTGTCTTGTCAATGATGAACAAGTTGGTAGCAGCAAGATGCCAAATTCATTCAGAAAACAATCTCTGAAAAGTTTTTATATATAATAATAATCCTTCCATTCAGTTTCTATCTTCAAGCCGATTGTTTGTAACTGCTGTGGGAAGCAAAAACGAATAGGGGAATGACTTCTACTATTTCTGAATTAAGCCCTCCTGCAAGGCGCCGCGCCTGCGCAGTTGATGGCGACACTATGGAGACCGTGTGTAATAAGAGAAGGCGACGCGACCCGGCTGCAGCTTCATATAACAATCAATTACCAAAGCAGCAACAATTGCTGCAGGCGGATCAACCTACTGCTACTATTGTCAAAAGAAGTTCGAAATTTCGAGGAGTTAGCAGGTTTTTTTACAGGATTTAAATTAATTATCTTCATGATTTGTTTTATGAAGCATATTTTCTATGTCTATAGTTGAAGCTGACAATGTACATGCTATGCAGACATCGATGGACTGGACGGTATGAAGCTCATTTATGGGATAAAGGGTCCTGGAATCCAACACAGAGAAAGAAGGGAAAGCAAGGTAGTTTTTGAAACTTGATATATGGGTCCCTGCGGCTATTTTCTTTTGTGCCTGTATTTATTTTTGCTGATTGCTAAAGCTTCTGCTTCTCTATTGTGAATTGTGTTGCATATGGCCGTGCATTGGAAATGATCGATTGCTGGCATGAGCAGTATATCTTGGTGAATACTCCTATCTTTTCTTTGAAACCATTGACTGCAAATTAATTTAACAGCTGAAACTGATATTTTTGGGATCTTTTATTCCTCAGGAGCTTATGATGAAGAGGAATCTGCCGCTAGAGCATATGATTTAGCTGCCCTCAAGTATTGGGGAACATCAACTTTTACAAATTTCCCGGTATAGCTATGCTATATATCTTATATTCTTTTCATGCAAATTAATTTATCCCTTCCGGACTTCGGCAGAAATCTAATATTTTGAAAAACGTTCCTAATAATATCATGCAGGTGTCAGATTATGACAAAGAAATTGAGATAATGGCATCTGTGACTAAAGAGGAGTACTTGGCCTCTTTAAGAAGGTACTGTTTGTGCAAAACTAATTGTGGTAGGCATAGAAATTCAGATTTTTAACTCATTAATTAGTTGTTAAATAGTTGTTTTGGTTGGTTAACAGGAGAAGTAGTGGTTTCTCAAGGGGTGTATCCAAGTACAGAGGAGTTGCAAAGTACGCAAAATCATCAGTTCAACTTGATAACCTGCACAATTTATGGATGTTGAAAGAATTAGAACTGATTTTTTTTTTTTTAAACCCACTGCAGGCACCATCATAATGGAAGATGGGAAGCAAGAATAGGAAGGGTGTTTGGAAACAAATATCTTTACCTTGGCACTTACAGTAAGTTAATTTCCCTCTCTCAACATGGTATCTTTAAAACTAGATACTAATTGCAAATTAAAAAGATATGCATCATAATCTTTAAAATGCTTTTCAGGCACCCAGGAGGAGGCTGCTCATGCCTATGACATTGCAGCAATTGAGTACAGAGGGATCAATGCAGTGACCAACTTTGATTTAAGCACATACATCAGGTGGCTAAAACCGGGAGCTAATCGTTCTCCACCTTTTGAAGAACAAAAACTAAGTTTTGAGTCCCAGCCCATGACAAATCTCTGTAACCACATTATTCCAAAGGACCAAACAACTAAACTCTCCATCTTCAATTCTAATCCTTTTAAAGTTGAAGCCTTAGACAGTACCCCAAAAACAAAGCACATTTTCCAAACAAAGACACCAATCAGTACTCCTTGCACCAAGTCATCATCGTCTTCTTCTTCACCGACTGCTCTAAGCCTCCTCCTGAGATCTTCAGTATTTAAAGAGCTGGTGGAGAAGAATCTGAACAGCACCAACAAAGAAAGTAGTGGAAAGCATGACACTAAAAACCTGCCACAACAAATAGGCAACGATGATGAAGTTGGAAAGATGTTCTTCAATGAAATTGGTGTCAACTCAGTTCAATATATGTGTCCTTCTTCCAAGATGTATTGCCTGGCTTAACATTTGCATTAAAACATATTGTCATTTTGTACATGAATAAAACAGCAGTCTCTTTGGAATGGTGACTCAACTGTGCCTTGTACAGGTATCGGTATAGGTATGTGTTTAAGAAAGCCACTCAAGGGAGTGTTTTATGGTCTGGTGTTTTCGTTTTTATCTCATTGACATTCAGGAAGTGGACTCAACTCTTCCCTGGTTTTGTACCATTAATGCTCTGAGTATATATCTTCATGAATAAAAGTAAGGAATAGGATTTTACTTCTTTAAGATTTTTACCAAATTCATAATTTTAATCTCTATGGTTAGTGTGCATGCAATACTCAAAAACTCAAATTTGCATAGTTTTTATAAGAGTAAATAACATTTTCCCACCCAAATAATGACTAAATAACATTTTCTCACCCACAGCCATTTAAAATATCATTTTACTATTCAAATTTATATTTCAATAGTGAAAAGAGACCAAACTCAGTCCAGACTATTGGGGCTTTTGAAGAGAGGTCGATGAGCCTTTTGGTGGTGGAATGTTGGATTTCGGTGATTGGGATTGATAAGAATTTAACTTGGGAGGGGCGACTGCACAAACCCTAATTGCTCAATTGTCAACGATTGGTGGGGTCCACTGGAGTAGAGTTTAAGGGGTTTCGATGAGTAATGATCAAGGAAGAGAATAGTGCAAGTATGAGGTCGCAATGATACCGAAATCAATAATGGAATACAAATTTGGATAATAAAATGATATTTTAAAAGTTTGTGGATAAGAAAGTGTCATTAAACTATTATGTGGATGAGAGAAAGTCATTTACTCTTTATAACAAGTAATTTACTTGCTTTTGTGGGTAGATATAATGAACTGAAAATGCATCTTATTCTATTTATCAAAAACATACATGATCCTGTAACACCGAAGTGGTAAGCGCCAATAATTGAATTATTGAATTGAAAAACCATAAGTAATATTCTTTACCAGTATGTGAGTAACAATAAATTTTCACTAGTGTAGATTAAATTATAATTTAATGTGTATATATATAATGAGTTAACTGCTTTATTTCAATTAAAAATGTCATTTTCAACCCTTGAATTTCACATTAATTACACTAACATCCTTGATCACCTGTACGAAAAATAAAAGTACAGATTCATATACTAATCTGTGTACTGAAAAAAAAAAAACTAATTTTGGTCTTGGTTACATAAACGAAAATCATTCTTTTGATCAAGGTAAATCTTGGATTGCATGATGAGGCTTTCCTCAACATAAACAGACCAATACTACCTTCAAAAAGCTCTTTGTACTTTGCATTCTTTCTGGATCTGTCACATTTTAAAATAGCTTAGCTGTATGAGGGAAAGGGTGGATTCAGCTTTAAAAAAATGAAAAAAATAAAATAAAAAACACCCCATTAACAAAAGAAAGATTAAATTACAAAGCAGATAAAGAAGATATCCACTTTTTACTGTCTACATATCTCTTTTCATTTCTTGTGTGTTTTAGGAGAAGTGCGAATGATAGGCAAGTATCTGGAAACAGAATATGAGCAACCAAAAAAACGAAAAAGATTTTGGCAATCTTTTACTCCATCCTGCTCACTTCCTTGAGAAGCTAAATGGCTTAAGTAAGTGTTACCCTTGTATATAAAACACAGCTGCTGCCACAGAAGTACACTTAACCCGACATTTACAGAAATACAAGCAACAAAAAGATAAATAAGAAGAAGACCTCTTGTAGACAAAAGCTCTGCAGAGTTCAGCAAAGCAAGAATGATTTCCCTCATGATTGTCAAAGCCATATCAGTACTGGACCCGTGTAAGCGGTTATGAGAACTCAACGTTAATGGCGGCCAGATTTGCAACCCCACATTTATAGACATGATTGCAACGTAAATCGTACTGACAACTGTTGAAATGAGGAAGGTGATGAAGTGCCGGTGATTAGCTGCACCAACACAGTTCCCAATCTGCATTACATGAAAAAGCAGAGCATTACATGTTGGTAGGAACTAAAATTCAATGGAACTAAGACAATTAAGAAAAAAGAACAATAGGATCGTGGTTGAGAATATAAAAACCAAATCTTGCCAAATAACAATCTCTAATATAACAATCACATCCAAACCCAAAACGCCAAGACAGATGATTACCAGCTTCTTAGAGCTAATTACCAGCTAAGGAAGATAAATTTACCAATGCACACAGATCACAGTTCAACCAATCCCAAAGAGAATATAGGAGCATCAAATCAATATTCCATGCAAAAGATTTAAAAATTAAGACCGAAAGGAGAAGCAGCAACCTATCATATCATAATAGCATTATATATTTCAAAGAAGAGAGACTAATTGTAACAGGAAACTTTTAACATCCAAAACAAATTCAAACTCACTGGTCCAACTTGTGGTCTCCACAATAATTTATTAAGCTCTCTTCACTAAAGTCATAATTATTTTACTCTGGGAAACAAGTTGGAACTTCTTAGCTCAGAAGAAAATCAAAGATGAGATTCATTTTTGGCTTGCTTGGGACAATATCCATTTAAATAATGATTTCAACATTTTGTTTTATAAGAATTAAAGAGAATTAGATTAATAAGATGTCACAAAAATTGAACAAGCTGTCCAAGAAACCCAAAATACTGCCCAGGCATATAAGGTATACCCTAAACAGCTCCAAGACCAAACCTATTGCACCAAAAAAATTTCTATTTGACCTGATTTACTCTGTGAAATGAAGTGATCCAAAATATTAAAATTAACCCAAAGCCTTCTTGGGATAAGCGAATAAAGAACAAAATTCTTGATATTATTTTGTTATGGGGCTTCAAAAAGAAGCTAAAAGTAGAACTCCCTAATTAAGCTAAAAATTTCCATATTAAGTAGCTTTCCAAGCTCCAATGCTTTAAGAGTTGAAAAAGTAATGCCTAACTAATACAGGTTTCAAAAGAACCAGAGATCCAAAATAACACATCGCCAATATAATAAATGATCTCCAACCAGAAAAGTTGACAAAGTACTTACAAATGGGCAGTGATGATCCATATCCAGTATACAAATTCCACATGTCCGGCAGTGATGACTTCTAGGAGATTTTGGCTTTGAACAATAGTGACAGAAGGTATAGTTTTCAAGGTCACCACTCCCCACAAGTGGATAGCTACCCCACATAATGCTCGGCGGTGTGCCAGCACAGCAGAATGCTGCAAGGCTGAAAGTAGAAAGTGTAGATATAGACAGGACTATCGCGATGGTCAAGTGAAAAACCCCATAAAAGTAGCTAATTGAGAAAATAACAGGATACACCGCCCACACTCCACCACCTGCACTTGGAAATAAAGTAATCAAAATAAGACTAATTAAATTAGAATCACAATTAGAATGAGTTAATATGCACACAAAATATCTTAGGCATGGAAAAAAGTGGGCGGTACGAAGATAGAAAATGAAAATAAAATTCTGAAACCTAGTGGTCCGTAGCACAAGCCATCATATGTGCATCACAGCCTCCTTACAGATGGACAGAGTAAATTTTATGGTAGCAGCAACCTCTGAAAACATGGATTGAAGGATAACGAATATGCTAGGGGATCTTGGGTATTCTTTTATAATGAACTTAAGAGTCTTCTCTTTAGGTTCCTTTAGTTATATAGTTTCTGCTTTAGTTTGCTATAATTTTCTTCATTTTTTTGAGTCAAAAGTACTTTGCTATTTTTTATTTTTGCAGGTTACTGGATTAATTAATGTTACTTTTCAGTTATGTCATTAGGCCACAATGTTACATAAAAATTTGGTTTTGAATTATTTTCTTGGCTAGGAATCCAAGTCTGTATTTGGTTACAACCAAAAGATTCTATAAAAATAGCTTTCTGTGATGCCAAACAAGCCAATGAGATCAGATAAGTTCATAACACTTTTGCAGCAACTATACTTCGTGATTGTGTGATGCTGGGAAATCTACATGTTATTTTTTTTCCTGTTCTACTTAATCTCAAATCACTGTTCACACCCATGAAAGCAGTTCAAAATTACTGTTTATTTTGCATATTTCAGTTTCAACCTCTACTTACCCCCCCAACCCCCCTCCTCTCGCGTTATACTATGAGTAATTCACATAATTTCCACCATAAAGCCATGAATCAGCATCAAAATAAACAAAAATATCACCTCTTTTTCTGCCCTAAATTACATATGATTATTCTCATTAACCCAATAAATCTTAAGTTATATTCCAACTGATCCATGTATAAGGCATACAAGGTTTGAAGTCTAATCGTTTGTGCATCATTTGTTTTTCAACTTTGGATACGAATACTTCATGAAAATATGTTTGCTTATAAAGTAAAGACAACCAAAAGGAAAGCAGATCCGTACAACTATTGTAGAAATTAAAAGTAATTAACCATTAATTATCAACTAGTCGTCATTTTTTACTCAGAACATATTATATTTTAAGTCTCATCATCTCTTATTATATCTCTTAAAGAAACAAAAAGTTGTCCTTAATCTAAAGCCACTTCTTGTTCTTTCCTTCATGTAAAACCACATGCTTTGTCCTCACTAGAATAATTTAAACAGAGTGTAATTAACCCATTTACATATCTACTAGTACATCAATTTTCAAATTCTTTAAGCCTTTGGGACTTTCTCAAATGGTTGGCAGAGTTTTGGGTTTAAGTTAAGTATAAGTTCAGAGTCTCCCTTCACTCCCAACTCTGCAAGCAAACCGGAAAAGAAAAGAAAAGAAAAAGGAAAAAAGAAAAAGAAACAGAAAAAGAGCTCAAGATCTCTATATTCTAAAACTTGCTTACGTAGTTATTCTACTTAAATCTTAAGTCCTTGGTCATATTCTTGGCATAAGGTATAAGAATGACAATGCTTTGCCTGTATGTACATGTGTTTCTAGATATAACCAAATAATATCTAGAACCCTAATTATATTTTCTTAAAAAAGGAAAAGAAAAATGAACTAAAAAGAAAATAAGAAGTGAATGTGTGTGGGTGTGTACACTTATAAGAGAGGTAAGGAGCCAAAATTTTACAAACTATCAGATAAAAAGAGTAGACTTTTTTTTTTTAAAAAAAAAAAAAAAAAGAAAGAAAATAAGGTACAGAGACGTACATATCACAAAGAGCATAAATACAAGGAGGACACAAACAAAGCACCGGTCACGCAAACGTCTCCAACAAGAGTACTTGCTTTCCTGTTTCCATATGTTTTGACTTGTTATGGCTCCACACCAACCACACTTAAAAGTAGGTGTGTAAGATGGAAGAATAAGAAGCAATCCACAACCCCAGCATGTTGGCTCCATAACATTATCAACCGTTGTCACAAAGTGTTCCTACAAGTGAAATAATTACTGCATGTTATCACTTTGATTCTGTTTTTTACTATGAGAACTATGTCTTCAATCTAGCATCCCACATAGCAATGTTAAGAGATTCCATACTTACAAGGTATAAGAGTTAATTGAAATTTTCAACCTATCACATGCAATTATTAGGCAGTATTTATTCAATAAAACCTCAATGTAGTTATGTTGGTTATTTTAATTTAATTTTTTAGTTTCTATTACACACTTTTAACTTTCACCTGTCTCCCAAATTTGAGATTTGATCAAGTTAGCACTTCTATAAGAAAGTAATTGAACCAACCCTAACTTGTATATACCATTGGAAGATTATACTACTCAAGAGGAAACATAGAGGCGTGTATAAATAAAAATAAGAAATACAAATAAGAAATTAGCCGTGGATAGGTATGCGCTACAACAAAAAGAATTCATGTATCCAGGGTCTAAGGCTTCATATGAATCCGTGCAGAAAGCACAAACAAAAAGAGAAAAATTACCGTATCTTGAATAGCCCCAAAAACCCAACCAGAATAAACTCAAACCCCCTAGCCAATTTAGATGAATAAAGATAAAAGAGGTGTCTTCAAAGTCTTTCGATTATCCTCCTTGACTACTTATTAATGTTATATGTGCGCATATGTCAAAAAATAAATAAATAAATAAAAATTTGGAATTAAGATTCCTTACACTTGATAATAATTGCAACCAAATGAACCACTAATTCTGTAAGAACCTCATAATAGAACTAAACTCTATAAAGGGAAAATAGTTTACAAAATCAGAGTCCACATTCTAACTCATGCAATCATTCTTAATAAAAGACCATGGTGAATCCACTAGGACCTCAATCTTTTTCCTTCTAATATCTCAAGTTTCTTCTAAGTACAAGACATAAGGCAATCGAATAATATTAGTAGAATAAAAATAGTTAAAATTAGAAATTTTCTGTGTATATATCAAACAATAAAAATGAAGAAACAATTCCAAGAGAGATGTTACAGCAACAGTAACATAATTTTCTCCAAAACAAACAAGAAAGGATAGAAAGAAAGCTTAATAATAAACAACGTCCAAAGGTAAATTAATAAAAAAAAAAAAAATATATATTTAGGAGAAGGAAGCGAAAACTTACATCGGCCGAAGTGGCCATGCGTGGCTGTGGTGTTGAAGGTAGAGCCCAGGCGAGCGAAGTGGAGAGAGAACGAAAACGTTATTCGTTCTCCGACTTGGCTTGGGCTTCTGGATGGACCAATCTGAGCGCTAAATATTTACAATTATAATACATCATCATCGCCCCTTGAAGGTCAAATCTGTGAAGGCCGTCCGCAGTCCCCATTAAATTATGTCAAATTGTTTTATTTTAACTGAAATAGATAAATGTTTTTTTTTTTTCTTTTTTAATAAACATAAATCTGACATTAAAATTAAGAGCAATAAAGTTGACTACATATGAAAATATTTCATTTTCAAATCTATATTGAATAGTCTAGGTTTATCTCAAAGTAATGATGTCTTATCTTATGTTAAATTATCAACCATGTTCTGGAAGGAAAAAAAAAAAGGTTTATCTCAAACTTAAAAATTAGCTACTGATATATTTATGTGAACGTTAAATATTAAGTTCAATATTTAATTATTATTTTATGATTAATGAACTTGTTGAACTATTTAAGTAATTAATTAAAACTTTAATTAATTATTAATGAAACTAAATTTCTAGCTTCTTTTTTTAATTTTCAAATATTGAATTTTAAGTACGTAACAGTTAACAGTATTAACTATTATGCTAATTATTTATTTACAATTTTATATTATATAATAACGTAATTATATGTGCTTAATGTAACGGCAAAATCAACCAAGCCCAGAAGAATCACAAAATTTCATATTTACAAATTACAAGTATAGTGAGCCGTAAAAGTTGGAAATAAGATTAGAAGCCGCTGATGACAACCATAACCTCCAAAGTTCCTGCTCGATGAACTTCAGAACTGTGTGTCTGTTGAGTACGAGATAAGAGCAAGTGATCAAACCATCAACTTAATGGCCAATCTATATTTCCCGAACTGTCATCACCAGTTTTCCAAGCTCCTGCAGCAATCTCACCGAATAGCTGGTCCCAACCCCAGCTTGAATACCCCAAGAAAAACCAATACTCCCAAACAGAATAATTGCCTGACTTCAGTTCTTCAATCGCCTTAACTGTGGCTGATTCATCCAGAAAGTAAACACCCGGAAGCACTTCTGGGTACTGATTTTTATCAACTCTTCGAGTTAAACTAACAAAAGGCATTCCTTGTTTCGCGACTGGCCCACCGAAATACAGGGGCGCTGCTTTTAGGAACTCTAGCCCTTCCTCGAGTTTTTGTAGAGACTCCCATCTAATCTGTTTGTTGACAATTAGACCTTCAAATCCAATCTTTTTATCTGCCTTCACAATAAGAATTTTTGAATTATCAAATGGTTGTGCATTGAGAAGCTTATCAGTGGCTATAAGGATAGAACCAACTGCCACATTATGCATCATTCCAAGCAAGCCTTTAGATGCATGAGATTTGATCTGACTATCTTTTACGGTTCTTCTTGGTGTTTCGCTCTTTAATATGACCTCATGTACACTTTCCTTCAAGACAGGAGCTTCCTCATGGTCAGTGGTAGTTGGTGATGAACCCTCGAATAAATCTTGACGCCTGCCCTCTTTTTCAGCTATTTTCCAGAGAATTCCTACCAAAATAAGAAGTTACAAAATGAATAAAATCTAAAACAACTCCCCCTAAAATTAGTTGGAGCACAGAATAAAATGTTCAAAACAGAGAATAATAAAGTAAATAAACAACGAAAAAACAAATGGAGCACAATGCTTCAGGTTAAATGTAGTCCTTCAACACATAACTGGCGTATTTAGATTGTAGTCGGATTTTTAATTAATGAGAAGATTATACGGTCAGGAACAATAAACTTTATTTTGTCACAACCAGGGTGCATTTGGGGACTCATGGACCAACAGAAGATTAATATGGCTAAACGATTTGAATAAGATATGTCACTAGGTCAGATCACATTTCTGTTTAAACGAAAATAGAAAGAAGACACGGTTACCTATGATAAATTTTTACAAACTTCAGCAGAGAAATGTTATACATCTTCCACTCATAAAAGAAATATTTCTTTTATGCGTCACATTCACAAAACAATGTCATGTATCATATATTGCTTTCTAGCTTTGCTTTACCATCATTCACTATGAAGCAACAATCATCCACCAAAAATATATGAAAATACTGATGACACAGACTCGTAATAGGAAAACTTCACAAAGTCTAATGATTAAAATGTCAAATGAAAACTTCGTCCAAAGTACTATGGCAAGAAAAATAATATTCTAAAGATAAAAAATCAGCAAAATTCTACTGATTAAAATGCCCAAGGAAGAATTTTGTTTTAAGAAGAGAAACACCTATATCTACGATGGTGGAAAAACAATAACATTCTCTAGATCTAGAAAGCAAACATAACTTGAACAACCAAAGAAAAAAGTTGGAATTCCAAACAATATGAAAGAATCTTATTCAAAATAGTCATTAGCAAATGCAAATACTAGAAGTGGAGAAATTCCATGATCAATTGTTCAAATCAGTGCAGTATCAAAGTCTATCAATTCAATGCAGCTAGTTCAATTGAACTGTAAGAATCAATAGTGTGCTATAAGATGTTGCTTGATAAAATCTCACCCTTGTCACTGATAAGATGATGTGAATTATTTCCATGATCAGCTATAAACTTGATAACATCGGCTACAGCTATATCTCCATCGTAAGAAATAGCATCTTTCCTTTCCGCAGGAAATAACAGCAGAGCAGGATAAACATCCCTCTGCATATTCCAAACATACCCCCATAAAAGAAAAAGGGAGATAATTAAACAAACTGATAACACACGAAAAAATTTGTTGGAATAATTGCTCTGAACTGCATGCCATTCAAATTAAATATAATTTATTGCACAACATAAATAACTGGCATGCAACTAAAGAGTTTGTAGGGTCTAGTATGCAGATATCCAAATATAGAAAAAAGTAGGTTTAAGAGTGGAGAAGTCAAACAAATTTATTGACTGAAGTATCTATAAATCAAACTTAAATCAGTACTGTCCAGAAAAACCTCATGCAAAAACGGAAAGGTGAAAATGCTCTGCAAAGGCATATGACTCAGTGAACATAAAATATTTGTGAAAGGAGCCAAGACTGGTGAAGGAAAAAGTGAGGCAAAACACAGCCCAAACAAGGGCATAAAAAGGAGATCTACCAAAGTGGGGCGAAGAAAGGACTAAAGACGGCCTCTCTGCAAAGAGAATAACAAAAATATCCAACTTCAAGGAATAATTCTACATGAAGAGAATCTACACTGCAAGTTTTTGTCTCCTTCCCAAATCTCCTAATATTGGGTTAGAACAATAAAAAAGTAGTACAAGAAAGAAAGGGAGAGAGAGAGATTGGAAACCTTTCATTCCATTCATGTCAACAACTATACAAAATTACGCTCCAAACTTTAATGATAGGAAGTTCATCATAATTAAAAAGCAATCATTATCATCTGGTACCAGTTATCACCCACTAAGGAACAAACCATTACCATATTTTATGCGTGATAAAATAAGAATTGGTTCCAGAATAAGCACCTGAGCTATTGACATTAAGATGGAACTGCAATCATTCCATTCATGTCAACAACTATACAAAATTATGCTTCAAACTTTAATGATAGGAAGTTCGTCTTCATTAAAGAGCAACTATTATCATTGGTACCAGTTATCACCCACTAAGGAACAAACCATTACCATATGTTATGCATGATGAAATAAGAATTGGTTCCAGATTAAGTACCTGAGCTATTGACTTTAAGATGGAACTGCAATCATTCAATGCACAATCCATTAGGTAGATCCGTGGAGACCTAAACATTACATTCTTCAAGTTGTCTGTCACAAATATAACCTTGATCAAAACTTAAATATTTAAACGAAGTTATCTCCTCATTTCAAAATCTCTCACTTTATATCCAGCGCAAAATGTATACATAATATAACAATGGTATTTGTCTGATAACAAATCATTAGTATCCAAATTACCTAGTCAACCAACTAGTCTAATTAACTTTAGAAGAAATTTTTTTATTTGAAGCAGTAAAAGATCAAAGCACTTCGAAAACTATATTTTGTAATTCATACAAAACATAAAGAGGAACAAAAGATTGAAAAAACAAAAACTAAGCACTTACCACCGCTAAAACCTTTTTGCCCATTCCTATATCCATTCTTCAACATTTTCATGTAGCCCGTTATTGCTCGGTAAACTTCACGAACAACCAGCTCCATTCTCTGGCAAAACCCGCACCATCCACCACTAAAAAGGACCAAGACATCCTCATTGCAGGCATGCGAAGCATTTTCATTCTCAGATTGATTTAAACCAAGAACCAATTCAGAGAAAGTACGGGTTGTAACTCGAGGAATAGAGTCCACTTCATGAAAATCCATATTGACAAATGGTGGTTGAGTGGCCTCCCTAGAGCTTTGAATAATAGACTCAGAGCATCTATATGGAAGAAGACTGCCATTGAGAAATCCATGAAGAAAACCATCTAGTGAAGAATAGCTGAAACTTGTCTCTTTGGGGAAGACATAATGTTGCTGTAGTGAGGGATCAACTATTACCAATGATGGAATAGTTGACCCACCAGTCAAAGCTCTAAGAAATCTATAGTTACCATCACAAAAGAAAAAGGAACCCCTGAAACTTTGAAAGTAAGGTGATTCCGCCAACTTGTATACCTGTGAAGAGCTTTTTTCTTCAACCTTGACATCTTTATCACTAGTCAAATAATGACCTGGAAGATGTTGGTCAGGTTCTTCAGATATCAACTGTTCTTTTGTATCAAAAGAAGTAGTTTTTCCTTCATCATCTACAACATCTGTGCCTTTGGAGTTTTCTTCACGTTCCACGGCAGATATACTAGTGCCTTGTGTTAACTGATCTTTGTCTGGACCATCAACTACTGTAGTAAGGCCTTCCCCTGATGCTGTTGTTAATGATGATAATGCATCAGCTATTTTGACATCAAAATCATCAGATAAAAGATGGAAGCCTGCCTCTTTTGCAAGTGAGCTAAATTTTGCTTGCTTCTTTTTTTGAATAAGGTACTCCAAGATCTCGTGCAAGGAATTCCCTTGCAAATCTGGAGCTATGTTATCTAAAGTGACAGGTTTACCCTCATCTATAATCATGATGGACATCTTATCCTTTAAACTAATCTTCTGAGCTTTTGGAGATAGCTTTAAGACAGGATGTCCAGATGTACTACCCAAAGCTTGATTAGATCGAACAGGAGGTTCCCCTGGCTGTTTCTGCCAGCCAGTTTGGTAAGGAATCATATAGTGCAACGCCAGTTCTCTAAAAGTATGCAAAGCTTCCTTACTCTTTCTACTAGTTTCTGAGGAGTCAGACAATCTATCCACAAACAGAAGAATTGATGGCTTATTTGCGGGTAAAACAATGTCAAGATCCTGCCCATCACCATCTAACTACATGACATGAAAGATATTTATATCAATCATTTATAAAGAAAAACAAGCTATATTGGCAAATGACAATAATTGGAAGGCAATGAGAAAAGATAAGAAAAGAGATAGAAATATTATGAAGCTCCTATTGTGGTCATAAAAGTTCATATTGATGATCAGACATATAATTAAATAAAAAACAATAATTTATAAAATAATGTAGCACGCTACTAAAATCACAAAGTGATCTCACCAAAGAAAGTGAGATTATCTATGGTCTGTATTAAAATGTTATTAAAGAAACTATTATAGGAGTCATTCCTGGCCAAGCTAACTCATAATATTCCCAACTCACAGTTGGGAACTTTACCAAGTCATGCATCTCAAAAGGCTAAAGTCAAATAGGACTTGGGGCTCAAGAGAACATGATGTAAGAAAACTTCATACTGGACATAAAAATAAATAAATAAAAATAAGTGCAGAAAATATGTGTTACCTCTGCAACAATTTCATTATTCATCTGTAGAATACTCTTAAGGTCATTCTCCTCTTTGAAAATCTTTGAACAACTGGGACAACCAGCTAAGTAAAGTGTTGCAAACCATGAATCAGAATCTCTGATTTCAAGATATTGAAGTAAAGACCTTTCTGAAACCAGGCCAAATCTATGCCTTTCAGGAGGCAGGAAGAATTCTCCAGCAACAGTAATAAATTTTGAGAAAAATGAATCAAATCGCTGAAACTCTGTATAGTTACAGGACAATTGACCACCAGACGTCATATTCTCAGTCTCCTTGAAAGGATCACTTTTGTTCACTAAGCCGAATTCAGTGAGCCAAGGGATTCCACTAAACCCATTACCGATGCTGCACTTCAGCTTCCCATTTTCTGTGTCCTGTATTTCCAATAATAGGAATATTAACTTATTTGTCCAGCAAGTTCTTCAATCAATAATCATTAGCTTCCTAATAATGCAATAAGAGACTACCAGCCACCTTCTCGTTATCATTCCCTCTTGATATTTGTGTTCCTTCTGTATCTATACCAAAGCTTCGCCCAAAGTGATCCCCTAGAAAAAAAGTTTTGTTTTGGATGATTGATGTAAAAGTTAACTACTCAATCGTGCATAACACATGCGAACCTACAAAGGAATCATAACTCATGCGAATTTTAATTACTACTGACTTGCAGGAAGAATTATTTATTGCAGAGGTTGCTAGCCGAATGCAGTGAAGAAAGTATATGATGATATAAATCATGAAATAAATCATGGAAAAATTTACTTCAAATGGATGGCACTAAGCAGAAAAAAACAGGCAGCAAGGAAAAACATATATAAGCAAAATAATTCACATGGCATACACTAGCTCAAATATTATATCTTTTCCCTTATAAGTATTTAAGTAACTAGATAAACAAATCATGCTTGGCAGCATTTTAAGTTTTTAATGCCCAAAACATGTTTATCAAAATGAGAACAAATCAGTTATTTGTGTGTATTCAAAACCATTGTTAATTTGGACAATTGTTATTGTAAAATAATATACAAATAATGACGCCAGCATCTTTTGTACCAGATTCATATAAACTGCAGATGTCTTTTCAATAAGAAAACAAATGAAGGTAATATTTTATGAGACCATACAAACTAGTTTCCAAGAACACTGAAAAAAAAAAAAAAAAAAAGCAAAGCAAAAAACTATGTCTGGAACAGTTAATCAAACAAAATTTCTAATCAAGAAAATAAAAACCTGATATTGAGACCAGAAAACTGTTTAAAAAACAAGGAAGCAAACATGCAATAAACTTCTTCAAATAACTCCTGTTCTTATATTCTGCCAATCTCCTTAATGCGTTGAAGCATAAAGAAACCGCAGGACCTCGAGAGTAGAACTTTTATAACTTCAATAAATAAAAAATTGAATTCTAAAGAGATTATAGGACCTCGACAGCTTCATTCACTTAGGCTAAGCACTAAAAACATGGCAAGATATAACATATAGAAACAACATAGACACCATCCACTTATAAATATTTGCCTCAGCACAACCATACCTAAACCAGGTCTTTATGAAAACTAATTTCAATTTAAACTTCAAAAAATCCATAAATTTAGTTTATAGAAACATCTAAAACAAATGAAGTTAGCCTAGGTTAACAAAAGAATGATTGACGCACCTCCACTTTCAGTACCGTTATTCTTCTTTCTGGCAAGCAATTTAGGAGCCCATCCACAAAATTCAAACAGAATTAGAGCTTTATCAGTTGATTCAAGAAACTCTTTCAAGTCCTCCTGAGAATGGAGGGATTTGAGCGGAAGTTCTTCAGGTAAAATGGACATATAGGGATAAATAGAGGATAAAATATTCTGTGCTCGAAGTATTCCTCGATATTTGTAAGATACAGAATGGTGATAGTATAAAACCGTTATGCTTTCTGTAGCACCGATAGCATCTGCCAGCATCTTCTCGGAGTTTCGATACAAAATCATCAACTTGAGCAAACCGAACTCATTTTTCCTAGAACTAACCAAATTTTCCACTTCTTTCATAAGTGATCGACACTCACCAGACCCTGTCAGTGTAAAATTTTAACAAAATTTCATTAAAAATGGATTATAATGAAATTTCATTGTTTTACACAAAAGAAACGATCATCAATTAGTCGAGACACAAGTATCAACCGAAATTCAAAGTACACAATTCTACTTTAAGGAAAAAGAAGTTGAAGAAGTTAGTAAACGATGTAAATTCGATTAGTTGAAGTTGAAGTTATAAGGGAGTACATGGAACAGTGACTAGGAGGAGGAGGTGAGGATGAAGTCGGATCTGAGAAGAGAAGTTTAGCTTTGTGAGAATCTGCCATTCTACAACGTCGTTTGGTTGACAATCGACGACTGAGGATGCTAGAGCGAGAATTACCGCAACGAGCAGTAAGTTGTTCTTCATCAGCATAGAAACTCTGAAACAAACACCTACTCTTCTGCTCTCACTCTTGATACTACAGCGTCTCATCGGGACTTTGAGGTGGAAAAAATGGGCCGGGTTAGGCGGGTCAGTCTGAACCCGGCCCGCCCTTAAGCTGAGCTGGTCTGGGTCAGACCCGGGTATCCTCAGTCAGGCGGGTTGGGCTTGCCTAGACAGCCCGGTAGCCCAACAGGTTTTTTGGAAACCTGTTGGGTCCTATGAGGTTGGCCTGCGGGCTGCCAACAGCCAGCCGAGTGGGTTGACAACAAAAAATTAAAAAAATAATTTATTTTTTTGGCCCGCGGGTTGCCAACGGACAACCCAAGTTGGCGACAAAAAATTAAAAAAATAAAATTTTTTTTCAAAAACCAATTTTACCTATTAAATATAGTCATTTTATAGTTGTTTTAGCCATTTATAAAGTTGATGCTGGTAATGGTACTAATACTTTAAAAAAACATTCAGATAAACATATAAATCATCATAGATATAAACAAACTAATCAAACTCAAATAACTAGTACGAGTAATACTTGACAGTATAATTTTGATGTATATAGGGAACAATTAGTTTTATATATTGCTGCAACTGATCAATCTATTATATATGGATAAAGATAGATATTTTGAAAGATTTGTTAAATATTCATTTTTATTATAATTTAAAACTTATTCTAAAACTGCAATTAAGAATGATTTAATAAATTTATTTCACAAAATGAAATTATAATTAAAAAATAAAATACAAAGTTGTCATGTTAGTGTAGCTTTAATAGCCGATATTTGGAGTTGTAAAGCTAAACAAAATTATATTTGTATGACTAGTCATTATTTTGATAATGAATGTAAATTAAATAAATTTTTATTATGATTTAAATTAATTGATGTAAGTGATGAACAAATTTATTTTAAAATTGTTGAAGTTTTAGAAGAATATAATTTGGTTAACAAAGTAATAAGTCTAATTTTAGATAATGCAAATATTAACAGTAGAGTTATAGATTTTTTTAAACTAAATTTTCCTTTTTATGACAATTTAAAGTTTTTTCACCAATGTTTACATTATTAATTTAATTGTAAAAAGTGACATGAAAAGAATTAGAAATAATATTGATAAAATTAAGGATTGTTTAGATTGGATTACTAGTAGTAATAGAAGAAATTCTGAATTTAAAGATGCTTATAGAACTTCAAGTTTGTCTCTTAGAACTTTTGCATTAGACATGTCAGTTAAGTAGAATAGTACTTATGTAATGCTTGATTCATGTTTACCTTATGCAAATTTAATTAGTTATTTTGTTGCAAATAAGAGGGTCCTCATATTTCGGTAGAGAGTGATTGATATTTAGCTCAAATATTTTATTCTTTTCTTAAAACTTTTTATGTTGCCACTTTAAAACTTTTTTTGTGTGTATTGCCTTACTAATCCATTGATACTGCATTAAATTATAGAAATTTCAAATTTATTTACTTGAAACAAAAACAATGAAAATTTAGCTGGACCAATAGAAGTAATGGAATTTAAATTTAAAAAAAAAAAAAATGGAAATCCATTCATTTTCTTTATTATCTAGTTGTCATATTTGATCTTAGGCTTAAATTAGAGGGTTTAGAACAAGTTTTAGACATGTTAAGTGAACATTTACAAGAAAAAGACTATGCCCATCAACTAGGACAAATAAGAGAGTGTCTTGGAAAAGTATATTTGCAATATGAAAACAGGTATGAGAACCAGCAAAGAGGGTCAATACCCGAGGAAGAACTAGTAGAAGACACAAGTTCAGACTTCAACCTATGGAGTGCACTTGATAGGCGGAAGAAGACCCGATCCTAAAGCACAGCTTCCTCCTCCTCTTTAGAAGCATCAACAACGAATATAATCTCCTCCTTGTAGCTGCAGAGTAATGAGCTTCATCAATATTTGAGAACCCCTAACTTGCTACCAGAAAATCCATAAGGAATAGCCAACTTTGATGTCTTTAATTATTGGAAAATCAGAACAAATGTTTTTTTGGTACTATCAAGACTTGTCTTGGATGTTTTCTTTGTTCTTGTTTTTACTATCTCATCCGAACAAACATTTAGTGCAAGTGAAAGATTTTTTTTGGAAAGAAGGACTAAACTTTCACAAAAAATGATTGAAGTCCTCACATGTGTTCGAGATTGAAAACGGTTGCGCCATCAAGATTAATACAAAGTTGTCGACGATATTTTAATAGAATCATTTCAATTTTGTAATTTAGATGATACAAATAAGGGGGGTCCTAGTCAATCCTCAAACTAGTTGTTTTATAATTCGTAAATTAACTGTCAATTATTACACTCTTTTTCCTTAACAAGTTTTTGTCAAAATTGAGTTTTTTTTTTTTTGTAAGGTTTTTAATGAGGTAATAATTATTGTTGTAATTTTTTTTTTTTTGATAAATGAATAAATTTAATTTTTCTTATATTACAATTTAATTATATTAAAATTGAATTAATATTTGAAATGTTAACCAAAAAAAATTAATTTAATTTAATTGATATTTAAAAAGTTTATTAAAAAAAAAAACTCAAAAGACAAAAACATCAAAAAATAAAAATGAAAATTAATTTTTTTTATTTTTTGGTGGCCCGGCCCATAGAAAAACCCGTCAGGCTCAAGTTATTGGGCCGAGCTGAGCTGACCCTTTTAAGTAAGGGACGGGCTGAACTCCGCCCACACTTGTTGGTGGGCTAAGCCTGGCCCACAAATTGCCCAGGCCTGGTGTGGGCCGAGCCGCTTTTCCACCTCTAATCGGGACAAGAATAATAATTATAAACGTTTTTTCTTTTTGAACTTTTTTTAAGATAAATATCAATGAGCTCTTCACTGTTTATTTTTACGGTTTCAAAAATATGCAAAGACAAGCTTCAGTGTTTTATTTTTATTTTCTTAGGAGAAAGTGAGAAATGAAAGTTAGTCCGTAAAGGAAGATTGAAAAAGAGAGTTTTATATTTACTTGGATAAGAGGGAATAATGGTTTAAGGTTAGGGTTAATAAAAGTTAATATACAAACTGCCATCAGTGGTCTGACAGTAACAGAATAAAGTAAGATCCAACACAATCTTCTAATTTTGAATCTTGCTGATAGTAAAAAAGCAAAAAGAGGATGTAACATGATTTTCTGAATTTGAATCTTTATGACTGCTAATAAGAATGGTCACTACAGTTCTTATTCGACCAGAAGTTTCAGGGCCTCAAAGGATAAAGCTAGTCCGAACACCCTTAGTCTTTGAAAAAAAATAAAAACACAGTTAATATACATAATAATTGAAGCATTGCCTCAAATGGGTTCATATAAATAAGTGCACATGACAATGAAGGTGGGAATTTGGTCGCCATTTGTAACAAATAAATTGCTTTTAGTAGAGTAATAGTACCACCCAATAACTATTAAAAATATCAAATTGAATTCATAGTACATGAGAGATGTTTCCAAATTCTTTCGTCAATCAGATTGCTTTCACTATGCAAAATCAATGTGATTTATGCTTTCTAGATTCAGCCATTCTCTTGAAGTGACGAGTTTTGATATTAGAATACTTTAGACTATTTTTGCACAGTATTTAAAAATCTATTCTACTTTTTGGCGCAGGTGTGTATGCTACCAAACTTCGGGTCTGCTCCATAGGTAAGGTTTGAGATGTTTTTAAGAAAGAGAATCAGGTGTTTGTTATGGGCTTATGGTTATTGATTTGTATGTATATATAGGCAAGAAAATTTACTCTGGAATCTTTCCCCAAATTTCTCAATGGTATCCCGTAACTTAGCAAAAAACCATACCAGGATGGTCCATAACTTTAAATTGTCCATCCAACAAACTTGAAAATGTGTTGAATTGTTCACCTTGGTTGCACAAAATCTCTATTTACAATGTAAGGGGATACATCTAAGTCTAACTTCTACCAGACCTTTGTACACTTTCACACATACAATTGACAGCTAGTATCAAATAGCATGCAAACTAAGAGCATCTTGTTTTGAACACATATCCTACAAAACTTGTATTACATGTACTAAGAATATGTTGATGAGAAGATTTTTCCAGACCATGACATGCATATTTACTACGATCAATCCATTATATATAAGTAAAAAGATAATGAATTGTTGTCAGTATTTTTAAGAGATGAGAAACAGGCAAGAAGGTGAAAGATGTGGAGAGTATGCGATGGTATTTTGGCCATTAATCTAATTTGATAAACAATATGAAGGGCATAATTGGGAAATGATTCATTTTATTAAACCCCAAAATGTTGTCATAGTTTTACCAATTTCCAAAAGATAACATACAAAATAAACCACGTGATAATTCTATCACTTCAACACCTCTATAAACATAAACTAAGCATGGGGAATACATGATCCAAGATATATAACCTCTCATGAGCTGAAGTTCATGGGTGTAAAACTGATATCAGTTAATACTTCTGTTTTAGGATTGAGGAGGATAGAGGTCCCACAGTGCAACTGTCGTGTCTTCCGATGATGAGGCCATGAGTTTACAATCAGTTGAAAATGACACAGCATTGCACTACGATCATAACACATAATTCACAATTAGAAAGAAGAAGTAATTAACTGCTCAAAACAGCTTTTTCACAAACAACCAACATACCATAGCATGATGATACTTCAATATAGCCAACGCATTTCCTTTGCGATAGTTATATATCCGAACTCTGTCATGAAAGGCAAAATTAATTAAAAAATGTTATTATGAAAAAGAAGAAAGAAATAAGAAAAAGAGAGTGGACTGCATAATAGAATAAGCAACTGCATAAATTAAAGACAATAGGACAGACAGTTATCTTTAAAGCAGGTGCTTGAGAATAGCAGCACGAGTTACAATGTAAAACTGTGTGCTCTTTAGAAGCAAAATGTTATGCAGTGAAAGTGTGAAGGATAACCACTTCGAGATGATTTGAGCAGGCTTAGAGATACTGTATTATTATTATTTTTTTCAAATAGTTCAGAACAAGCTTTTGTGGATCTAGCAAATTGAAGCCTTAAAAGATTCTGCCAAAAAAACTTTTTAATCAACCAAAATAAGGACAATTCACTGTCAGAGCAAGAAAATTTTTCTATGATTTAATCTATTTTATATGATTGTGATTCAATCATAAACCATTGAGCATCTTATAATTTTTTCATAAGGCTCTGAATATCCTTATTAATTAACACAAAACTTGAGTATAAACTCCCATAATATCCAAATAAATTATCTAGTAATACTGACCGATGGTCCCAGCCAGCAGTAGCAGCAATTTTGCCGTCTGGTCGAATTGAGGTACCTGATATACCAGGTCGTTCCAAACTAATTTCTTTCTTCATCACACAAGAACCCTATGTCAAATAACACAAAATGTAACCAGAATCAGGCAGTAACTCAGGAACAAAACAAGTGAAAACAAAAGAAGATTTTTTTCCCAGAAGCATTAACGAAATTATCATTCATTCCAGTTCCTTTAGTTGGTATGTCAGTAGTCCGTACTGGGCTATCTTAGTGTTTACACATCTATGGAAAGCTCATAATCTATAATATGGATATAGAGAAATACATATCCATCCATCTAATCTTCAACTTCAGCATCCACCAATTAACCTTAACATGATGTTGCAGGAGATGTTATACAAGAGAATAAATTAGATTATATGATGACTTACTGTGGAATGATCCAAATTAAACATTATAATGTTTTGGTCTGCAGCACCTGAGATGCCTCCATTGCATGAGCCATCAATGCATAGACTTAGAACTGCAGACAGAATACATGATGAATCACACTTTGATTTAAAGGAAAATATGGGAAGAAGAAAATGAAGATAAATAAGGATACATAGGGGTTCTCCAATAGCTGGATCCCAGACCTGGTTCTGAATGAAACTTCACAGAAGTTAATGGAGTCCCAGGATTCCTTACATCCCACAAAAGCATGGAACCATCTTCAAAACTGCCACGCGCAGAAAGATGGAAACAAAAGTAAGTGGAACTCATTTGAAGTTCTTTAATAATGCAAAATTAAACTATGATTTATCAGAATCATGATTTTTGGCTCAGATGAGAAAAAAAATGGAACAACGCAAACTACTTTATTGATTTTCAACCTCAGTAGAGCCATAGACTAACAATATCAATATCGTGATTTTTCAAGATATTGATAGTATCTCCTGATTACTGAATGTCTATTGCTTATAAAGTTCAATATAATAGCAGTAAAATTTGTTTACTTCCATTGAGGTTTGCCCTAATTACATGTGAACTCCATTGGTTTTGAAAATACGTAGAGACCTCCCTTATGAAACTTCAAAAAAGGTCTTTGAAAAACAAACAAAATTAATTATGATGCTAAACTGATAAGGTGCTCAGGTACTTTTAAAATGGAGAAGAGTAACATACCCAGCCAAGACATTTATACATCCCTGTGAGTTAGGAGGTAAATATGCTTGAACTGCCATGCACATCCCTGCAAAGAGAAAAGTTATCACATATCTAATGCTGCTAAACTTCCTGGGCACAGCAAATATATTTTTCTTTTTGGTTGTTTTTATATCATGTCTAATTCTTCTCCTTCATTATCAAAGTTCTGGACATTCCATATGAAGACTCATCAAGTAAAAACTAAACCATACTTGGCCCTTCAAACACATTTAGTGTTTGCTGCACCAAAATATTAAAGTGAACCAATACGGTGTCAACAATTCAAGAAGTTAAGAAGAGAAAACTTCTTACTGTGCTTGAATGTACTAATTAAATAACAAATCAAATACAACTATCCAATCAAGGAATGTGATTAAATACATGAATGTGCATACATATGGCTCTGTATATGTTAATCATATATCTACCCTTGTTCAAATTTATAACAACAATATGATACAAAAGTGATATGGGAAAAGAATATACCTCTTCCTTTAGTTGTAACGTTTGAGGAGACAACAGAACAGCTTTCAAATAATCGTGCACACCTTTCTGCAGTGTTGAGATTCCATATCTCTACCTTTCCACATAAAACACAGGGAAATATAAGCAATTGGGCACCAGAAAAAGAAAATTGAAATAACAGTAATTATTATTATTATTTTTTTTTAAATTTGAAAACTGTGCATTGACCTCGGAAGATTGTTCCCCTGCTATAGCCACACACTTAGGTCCTTCAGCATGTGCATCATCTGTGAATTAAAAAAAATCTGTTAGTGCTAGCTTGAAATCACTTTTGAAGTTATAAAGATCAACACAAAAATAGAATCCAGACAAAGTAGGAGTCGTCAAAATTTTGCATAGGTCTGAATGATCACATATAAAATTGTACAGGGACAAGTAGACACTGTTTATACAATAGATACTTGACTGAATTAAGCTTATCTCCCTGAAAGGATGTTGTTACTAAAGCAAAATCATTGCAATTGGTCCTGGGAATTAACAGATCATGTGGGTTGGTCTGAGTATTGCAACTAGGGTTAATGATATAACACCACAAAAATCGAACACTATTTATCCAGCATTCACCAACTCCTCATAGAAGAAACTAGGGAGAAAAACTAGCTTTAAAGCAATTATTTGCAAATCATTTGTGAGCCAAAGCCCATTTTAGTAGGTTTAAGTTCCATAAAGCACAGCAATTCTAAAATATGTAGATCCTTCACCCAAACATTGTTTGATTGCTTTTCATGAAACAAAAAACACTGTATTTGACATCCTATAGCCTTTCCTCCTTCATGCAGACTTTCAACATCACTGGTTTCTCTAACCTCCCTCTCGTAGAAATGACTAGGCCCTTCAACTTGGTTTGCAATAGCACAAGGTTTCTTTACCATTGAAAGCTTGCAAAAGTGATAAGAATTTGTCTTGATAGTAAGTGAAGGGATCCTGTCAAGAACAAAGAGTCAAGTTTAATTACAATGACAACTTAACAAGGAGACAAAAAGGTTTCTGAGGAAGGTAAGAAATAGAAGTGAAAAAGTGCTGAAAAGCCCACAATTAAAATGACTAAATCAATTTGTCAGGTCTAACGCACTCTCCTCTACCCCAGAGGAAAAAAGAAACACGTTGGCTTCTAATGCAGGCAAGCAGTAACTGAACATAACAATTATTATGGAAACTTTTTCCTATCTATCTTCCTGATATGATTTTGAACTTCAATTAGATTTAAACACACACACACACATCTGAACAAATTTATTTCAATCAATATATGCATCAAAAGTGTTACAAGGACTATAAATCTATCATGCACAATTAATTACAAAAATGGCATACAATATTTTGCTATCCATGGATAATTGTCCATGCAAGATAAAAATCCTTAGGATAGGACACATTTAAAGAAGAAGTATAGTACCTTGATAGATCTCCATTTTCAATGTCCCAACACTTAACAGTTCCATCCCTACCCTGACTAAAAACACCAAATCATATATATACAATACATCATTAGTGCTAAGGACCTAAAAAAAAGAATTCAACTTTGTCACAGAAAATGATTCAAAAAGAACCTGATAACTTTGTTAGCCCCATTGAAACGACTACTAGCAACACATAAAATCCCATGTGCTGCACTATGCACCCTACAAGCAATGCAATAATCAATCAACAATCAAGGCCATGATCTTTGAAAACAAGAATCCTAAAAGATATCACAAACAACAACCATGCAGATGATATTGTTCGATGCTGGACCACATCCCAAATGCGCAATTCACCATCAGTAGATCTGAAAAACAAAAAAAAAAACATTAGTTTCTTTCAAATAGGACAAAATTAAGAAAATAGGATAGCAGTAGGAATGTTAAACCATTACCCGGAGAAAAGTATAGGTTTAGTACGGTGGAAACATACATCCATAACAGAAGCCCGATGGCCTCTGAGCACTGCCACAGGATCAGGTGGCGGTCTCTTGCTCATTATCACTTGATGTGTTTTAAACACACTCTGGAGACCTTCTAAGTACTGAGCTAACTGGATCCCTGGCTGGATTCGTTTCTACAACTAAGCTGGCTTCAATGTGGTTCTGTGAGCACCTGGGATACGCAATGTAATCCACACAAAACCAAAATATAAATGAGCATTACATTGTCTTGGTAGGATTTCTGCATTATGAGCATGTCGTTTATAAAAGGAATTCCAGCATTGTTATTTTCTCTTCATTTTGGAAGGCAGGAGACGTTGCTAAACTAAAATTAGGGGCTGAATCATGTATAGAATATACTAGATAAACATTTTTCCAGTAATTTGAAAATCTTTAGTTCATCCTATTATTTATTGTCAACATAATGATACAAATATGAAATATTTGTGTCACCTATCAAGAAAAACAAAATTCTCACGATAAATTAGACAAAAAAAAATCATCGAATTTCATCATAACTAGATCCATAAAAATAGTCAATATTAATACAATAAAGGCCAATCAAAGAGTAGAATGAATTATGATTAGTTTACTTGTATGCATATGTTTTGAGGCGTGATAATATTTATACTCAAATATATAACAGTAATTATATTATCACCATATTATATTATATTTTATTAAACACTTAGATTTTTAGTGTAAAAAATCGATACATTATTTGAGTCTAGTAAAACAGTTTTCTCTACTATCAATTAAGGGCAAATTTCTACCAACGCAGGACACAGAATGCTGCATTTGAGGTGAATTATAATCCATTTCACCCAAAAAGTATAGATAAAGAAAGCAATATCAATGTCAAGAAATAATAATAATAATTTAAAAAAAAAAAAAAAAAGAGAGAGAATTTTGATAGTTTAACAATCACACAAGTTTAAACAACAAAAGAAACTATCATCACAAAGTGAAGAGAAAGATAAAGCTGAATCAGTATAAAAACTCACCAGCGACGGCCTGCATGAATAACGGCAGACGGCAGTAACGGGAGAGAAACTAGCGGCTGCGTCTCTTTACCTTTTAACTAAGAATGGTCGGTTTGCACTGTATTCGGAAAACATTTAGTCAAGGCCAGTTTCTTCACTAACCAGTAACGCACATCATTCAAGTTAACAGACGAATTAAATTCCGTTATCTAACACATAGATTCCACCGCTAAAGTAAGCTGCAAGTCTGCAACCAACAAAAACAAAAAAACAAAATGAAATTGTAAAACAAAATGTTGAATCACAGAAAAGGAAGAAAGTGACTACTTTAAAGTTTAAACAACTTAAGACAAGGCAAACAAGGTAAACTTAATCGACCAACCCACAACTTTCTTCTTCCAACATCTTAATACAAAACCCAATTCACCAAAACCAACCCACAACTTTCTTCAAACACCTTGGATGCATAATCCAATTCATCGTAACTCAACTACATGCCCACAGCATTATTCATAATAAACACAACAGAACCAGCCCTAGAATTTACAAAATTCATTGATTTTAAACAACACAGATTATCGTATCTATTATTCTCGAAAACAACCAAATCGGAAATTCATACCCATAAATTGTACAATAGGAGAGAGAACTTTGAGTTGTAAAGTCGTTCGAGAAAGAGAAAATGGGGTTTATGCTTGATAAAGTAATTAAATGGACACATAAAAGCCTCTGTCAGCCGTACTTTGACCGTTGGGTTTATAACAATTTCCTCCTCAAGTATAATAAAAATAAATACTCCTATATGAAATATTAACTATTATTTGATATTATTTAAACTGTCATTTCTTCAAATTTTTATAGCAAAAAAATTACTATAAAAATATTGAAGAAATAAAAATTAAAAGGAATCTAAAACTTCTTTTGAATCCCGATTTATTTTTTTAAGTATGTAATTTAATTAAGTAAATTTAAGTTTTACTTTATTTTTAGTTTATTGTATAAAATCAAATAATAGTTTAAATATTTCATATATTTATTTTGATTATAGTTTAAAATATATGTTTTATTAATCAATATTATTATCCATATAGTTAAATTAAAAAATAAAAACTGATATATAATTATTCAAAGGGTATTATAATTTTTATAAGGTAAATTTTTTTTGTGTATTTGTTATTTTCGGAAACTTTTAGTTGTCTCTTACTTACTTTTCTCAAACATTGTGGAGGAAATTGTTATAAATAACCTCCATTTGGTGGTCGAGTGGTTAATTATGACTTTTGGGTGTATTACTAAAGAGGTTATTGAAAATGTCGTGAGTTGGACCCATCTGGGTTGCTAATAGGGGTGACAACTGAGGGGATTTACTCGACTATTAACTTTAGGGCCTAAGGATTAGTTGAAATACGTACAAACTAGCTTGGACACCCCATTCACCCAAAAAAAAAAAAAGCACTGAAGGGATTTACTCGACTATTAACTTCAGAGCCCGAGTTATTAGTTGAGATACCCACAAATTGGTTCGGATAACACCCCCCCCCCCCCCCCCCCCCAAAAAAAAAAAAGGTTATAAACTCTTTCATAGTTGAATGCAAATTGCAAACCACTTTCGGAGGGAGAAGATTGTGTGGAGAGAAATTTATAGCACTCAAAACAAATCACTAATAAAAGCATGCCACGTTTTCACGATGAAAATAAAATGAGTAATACTACATCAATAACCCTCTCTTACAAACTTTCTCTTATAACCCTGACGTGGTAGCTTATAATTGATTAGCTTGTAATTAATTAGTGGGACCTATGTGGGACTTATTATGAATAGATTAATTATGAACTACCACATCAAGATTGTAAGAGAAAATTGATGAGAGAGGGTTGGTGCAGTATTGTTCAAATAAAATTCCCATTACTGATATTTTAATCCCTGGACATGTTAAATTGCGTGGTAACGTGGGTTTTTAAAATTCACTGTTGATGATTCGTTGACTTTGCATGACGGTTTATCAATAACCAATCAAAATGAAACATGTCACCATATATTAAAATATCATACATCTGAGCTCTCTGCCATTTCCTTCTTCATGCACCTTAGTTTTCAAAGAGAGTCAATCGCTGTTATTTTTGTGGAAGATTGCAGTAATGGCGACAGCCACAGCGATGCAGACGAGTCGTGGTGGCGGTTTGAGGAGGGGAGCCGAAAGAATGGAGGAAGACAAGATGGTGTTTGAAACGACGGAAGGAGTGGAGGCAATCACGAGTTTCGATGGGATGGGAATAAAGGACGATCTGTTGCATGGAATTTATCAGTACGGATTCGAGAATCCCTCGGCCATACAACACAGAGCTGTCATGCCTATAATCAAGGGCAGAGATGTAATTGCACAAGCCCAGTCTGGTACCGGCAAGACCTCTATGATTGCACTCTCTGTTTGCCAGATGGTCGACACGGCTATTAGTAGGTGGAGTAAGTTTAAATTTGAATTTTGAAATGTTATTAGTTGAAACAGTAACGTTTGCATTGTATATTTTACCCCTGTTTTTTGAATCAAAAACAGAGCATTATTGCCGTCTTCAGTTTCTCTTTCGTTTATCTGTTTTTCTCTTTCGTTTGCATGCAAAACCATCAAATGGTATTAGAGCGTTAATTGATCTTAGAGAACCTGATAATTAATCTTCTTTCTTCTCACTTTCAACCCCGGTTTCGTCACTCTCTTTGTCAAAACTCAAAAACTTTCAGTTTCAATGGCACAACCTCCAGTCTCTCTGACTTCTCCAGTCTTTAATGGCGAGCAATACCACATGTGGGCAGTCAAGATGAAGGCATTCCTTCGGGGACAGGGTTTGTGGCAGTACGTGGAAGAGAACCGTCAACTGCCTCCCTTGGGACCAAATCCCACCCCGAATCAAATCAGGATGCATGAAAAAGAGGTTGCCAAGGCACCAAGAGCTCTCTCTCACATTCATGCTGCAGTGAATGACCTTGTATTTACAAGGATCATGGCGTATGAAACACCAAAAAAAGCATGGGATAAGTTGAGAGAAGAGTATACGGGTAGTGATACAGCAAGAGGCATGCAGGTGTTGAACTTGAGAAGAGAATTTGAGTTGCTGAAAATGCAAGAAACTGAGAAGGTAAGGGAGTATGTTGATAGATTAATGAGTGTGGTTAATAAAATTAGATTGCTTGGGGTGGAGTTGACAGATAGAAGAATTGTGGAGAAAGTGTTAGTAAGCCTACCTGAAAGGTTTGAGGCTAAAATCTCCTCTCTTGAGGATTCTAAAGACCTGACTCAAATAACTCTTACTGAGCTGGTCCATTCTTTACAAGCTCAAGAACAAAGGAGGCTTTTAATGCTGGAAGACGCAGGTGAAGGTGATATGGTTGCAACACATAAAGGGAAGTTTATGCAGGCTGGAAATAAGAGAAATGCAGGAGATAAGAAAGGGAAAGAGAAAGCTAACGGTCAGTGGGATAAAAAAGTATCTACCGTGTTCCCACTGCAAGAAGAAGGGACACTCAGAAAAACGGTGTTGGTTCAGACCAGGAATTCAGTGTAGGGCCTGCAAACAATTCGGCCATATAGAGAGAGTTTGTAAAAATAAAGGGGAATCCTCTCAGCAGCAAGCTCAGATGGTTGAAGATTTGCAGCAAGGGCAGGAAGCTGAGCAGTTATTTGTGGCATCCTGTAGGTCTGACTCATCATGCAATGAAACTTGGTTGATTGACAGTGGATGCACAAGTCATATAACTCCAAATTTGCAAAGCTTCATCAGCTTGGACATGGCGTTTCAATCCAAAGTCAAGATAGGGAATGGAGAATTTGTGGATGTTAAAGGGAGAGGTGATGTGGCTGTGCAAACTCAATCAGGTACTAAGTTGATTTCTGATGTGCTCTATGTTCCTAAATTAAATCAAAGTTTACTTAGTGTAAGACAAATGTTAGAGAGAAAATGTCCTACATTTTCAGGATCAATCTTGTAAGATACTAGATAGTGAGGGTAGTGAACTTATGAGAGTTAGAATGATGGGAAAAAACTTTCCCATTGACTAGAAAAATTCAGAGTTCAGAGCTCACAATGTTAAGCTAGATGAATCTGAAATATGGCACAAGCGTTTTGGCCATTATCACTACCACAGTCTCAAGCAAGCTCAAACCAAACAAATGGTTCTGAACTCGCCCGAAATTGATGAAGTAAAGACCTTGTGTCATGCATGTCATCTTGGCAAGCTGAGTAGACCATCTTTTCCTGTGAACCAAGCTTTGAGAGCTTTAGAAAAACTCAAACTCATCCACACAGATGTATGTGGCCCTATGCAAACACCTTCCTTGAATGGGAGTTGTTATTTTGTCTTGTTCATTGATGATAAAACTAGAATGTGTTGGGTGCATTTCTTGAAGCAAAAAAACGAAGTGGCTGGATTTTTTGGAAGGTTTAAGCAGTTGGTTGAAAACCAAACTGGTTTGAGTATCAAAATGGTGAGGAGTGACAATGGGAGTGAGTACACATCAAAAGAGTTTAAAACAATCTGCATAGAGGCAGGAATCAAGCACCAATTCAGCAGTCGTTATACTCCACAGTAGAATGGAGTAAGTGAGAGAAGGAATAGAACCGTTGTGGAGTTGGGAAGATGTATGTTGGCTGAGAAGAAGCTGCCGAAAAGTTTTTGGGCAGAAGCTGTGAACATTGTAGTTTATTTATTAAATAGGCTTCCCACAAAAGCCTTGATCAACCAAACTCCCTATGAAGCTTTGTATGGGATCAAACCTGTTGTGGATCATTTAAGGTTCTTTGGCAGCACCTGTTATGTATTGGTTCCAACAGCCAAGAGGAAGAAGCTGGATGACAAAGCAACTATAGGCATTTTCAATGGATATAATAATAATTCCAAGGCTTGTAGAGTGTATAATCCAGAAACCAAAAAGATACATGTCACTAGAGATATAAGGGTTGATGAGAAAGGTGTTTGGAATTGGGAAGAGAACAAAGTTGATAAAGAAGAAAGTCCACGACAGATTGATGTGGTTGGTGATGAAGCTGCTGAAGAAGAAGATGGAAGTGAAACTGAAGAAGAGCTCCCGGTTAAAGGCACTCGTTCATTGGCTGAGGTTTATGAGAGGAGTAACTTGGCCACACTTGAACCAACTAACTTCACAGAAGTAACAAAATCTGAAGCTTGGAGAGTTGCTATGCAGGAGGAGTTGGCAATGATAGAAAAAAATCAGACTTGGAAGCTTGTGGA